CAAGCTAAGTGAACTTATCCACAGCATTCAAAACTTCTCCATTTGCTGTAATCAATGGTTCCCAACCAAGTGGAGGGATTTTCTGATTTTCTGTTTGCAGATGATTGTGCACTCAATGCAGCCTCTGAAACTGAGATGCAACAAAGTATGGATCGATTCTCTGCTGCTCGTGTAATTTGGGTCTGACAACACCAAGGAAAACACAGGCGCTCCATCAGCCAGCACCGAACCATCCATACTTGGAACCAGTGGTTGCTGTGGATAAGGGGGGACTTTTAGAAGGGTGTATAGATTAAGAGTGAGGAGAGTGGGGGGGAGATGATAAGGGAGGCACTCTTAGAAGGGTGGGTAGATTAGGGAATAGGAGGGCAAGGTGGTGGTTAGAAGCAAATTAGACTGTAAGGTGGAATAGCGTAAACAAGGTTAGAAGGATAAATAGTGAGGAAAAATAAGATGGAAGGAAATGTCCAACCAATAATTATAACTTGGAATGTGAATGGGATGATTTATCCATAAAACAGAAAAAGGCTACACACATAGTTAAAATAAAGAGCTGGAGTTGAATTTATTACGCTTCAGCTGATGTAAAAAAAGTAGGGATAGCAAGCATGATCTTAGACAAAGTTGATGGGAAAACAGATTGAATTAAAGAGATAAACAGGGAAACTACACTATGTGTCACCAATATTATTCAATATTGTTTTTAAAATGCCAGCAATAGCAATAAAAAAAAAGAAAAAGAAATTAAATCAAAATGGGAACTGAGGTAATAAACTATCTCTTTTTGTAGAGAATATGATGATATATTTGGAAAATCCTAAAGATTCAACTAAAAAAGTTAGCTGAAACAACTAATGATTTTGGTAAAGTAGGAGAACGTAAAATAAACCCACATACATCATCTGCATTTTTACGTATCACCAACAAGAAGAGATAGCAAGAGATATCTCACTTTAAATAACTATAGAAAGCATAAAATATCTGAGAATATACCTGCTAAAACTGACCTAGGAACTACATGAACATAATTATAAAATTCTTCACACAAATAGTTAGATTTAAATAATTGGAGAAATATTAATTGTTCATGGGTAGGCAAAGCCAATATAATAAAAACGACAATTTTACTTAACTAATCTATTCAATGTCATCCCAATTAAATTAGTAAAAAATTTTTACTGAATTAGAAAAAATAATAACAAAATTCATTTGGAAGAACAAAAGGTCAAGAATTTCAAAGAAACTAATGAAAAAATATGAAAGGAGAAAGTTCAGCAGTACCAGACGCCAAACTATAAAAGGCAGCAAATTATCCAAACTATCTGGTACTGCTGGGAAACCTAGAAAGCAGTCTGGTAGAAACTGGGCATAGACCAATTATCTTCCTTTTTAAAAAAAATTTTTTTTTATTAATTTATTTTGATTTATCAACAATCACTTCCATATGCTTTTGAGTTTAAAATTTTTCTCCTCCTTCCTCCCCTCCACCCTCCCCAAGACAGCACACAATCTGATATAGGTTACACATTTACATTCCCATTAAATATATTTTCACATTAGTGAAGTTGTAAGTAAAAATTAGGGCCAATAGGAGGAACCATCAGAAAGAAGAAAAAAACTCTACAGAGAGAAAAAAAAATAGCGATTCAACTTTCACAGTTATGATTACTATCTGTGTCTTTTTCGCCATCCTTTTTTCCCCCCTGCTTATGCTTTTCTTTCTCCTTTCTCCTTTCCCCCCCCTCCAGTGTTTTGCTTTTGACCTCCGATAGACTGATTATCTTAAACCATGTACCAAGATAAGGTCAAAATGGATACATGACCTAGCTAAAAACGGAGATCTCACAAGAAAATTAGAAGAACATGCAACATATTACCTATCAGACTCATGGATAGGAGAACAATTTATGAATAAACAAGAAATAGAGAGCACTGTGAGGTGTAAAATGGATAATTTTGATTATATTAAATGAAAAAGTTCTTGTACAAATAAAACCAAGGGAGCCAAGATTAGAAAGAAAGAAAATTGGGATAAAGTTTTCATAGTCTCTCAGATAAAGGTCTCATTTCTCAAATATATAAAGAACTTTCTCAAATTTATAAGAATACAAGTCATTCTCCAATTGGTCACAGGATATGAACAGGCCGGTTTTTTACACTGAAATCAAAATTGTCTATAATCATATGAAAAAATGCTCTAAATCATTATTGAAGAGAGAAATGCAAATTAAAACAACTTTGAGATATCATCTTACACCTATCAGATTGGTTAAAATAATAGATATCCTTCAATTCAATTGGGGAATGGCTAAACAAGTTGTGGAATATGATTGGGATGAGCTGGTTGATTTGGTTATCTGAAGAATCTGATTTTAACTGTGTGAATCAAAGTCATAAAACTGATTAAAAATAAACTAGGAAAGACGATCATAAGGGTTATTTTAGGACAAGCTGAAAATAATTTTTACATCTGTTGAAATAACCTTACATCTATTGAAAGAAATATATTTATTAAAGTAAAATACCCATTCTTCTGAGTGTTTCAGAAGGTGGGAAAAAGGAAAAAACATATAAAGTCAATTACAGAACTGATTTCCATACTTCAGAATATCAATGAAAAAGAATGCTCTCTCCAAAAGAGACAGTTCAAAGATATAAGGCTTTTATTAGGATAAACTGATTCTTAAGTAGTCTGAAACCATATAATTTTGGTTTATTTTCAAAAAACACTGAATTCTAGAATTTTAATTTTTCAATAATCTATTTTCTGATGTAATAGCTAATTATCATTAACGAAAAGTTCTGAGGAAACCTCAATAAGAAATTAAGTGTGTCAATTAGGGCCAGAAATTACAAATCCCACTAATTCAAAGAAGTCTCGTAACTGACTTAAAAGGATAACTTTATTTCTTTGACCTATCTTAATACCTATTGATACCTGTCTTGAAGTAAAGTTAATAGGTAAAGTGGGGAGATGGAGAAAAGGAGCAATTAAGGGAAAATATAATCCTTTACTACAAAGCTACAAAAAAAGAGACCCCAGTGTTTAGTAGCTTAGTTGGTACTATAGCTGGAGAAAATTATATTTTTCTTACACAACTAATTTCCTATATTTAGTAGTTAACTATCTTTCTCCACATAGGAGCTTTTAACCATTAGATGCTTCAACTAGATAATCAGAGAATTATATATCATACTTCAGACTGCCTGGAAAAAAAATCAGTTTTTCCCAAAAACAATTAGCAGCCCTTTGAAAAACAAACAAAAAAAACTTTGCTTTGCCCAAAATTAACATCTGAAGACTCATTAGAAAGCTGCAGGAAGGGGCTGCTAGGTGGCACAGTGAATAGAGCTCAGGCCTTGGAGTCAGGAGAAACTGAGTTCAAATCTGACCTCTCTCAGTTGACATGTACTAGCTGTGTGACCCTCGGCAAATCCCTTAACCCTCACCAAAAAGAAAAAAAAAAAAGAATGCTTCAGGAAGCCCGTGATACCTATTAATGAGGCTTGAAAGTACATCAACAGGAAACATCCATCCTGATACATCCAGAACTGACCGGGTCTAGATAGAAAATAGTAAGCCATAGCTGTAAATACTATGAAAAAAAAATACTATATAGAATATGATATTCCAACTGGCAAAAGATAAATGCTTATAACGAAAAATAACTTACCTTCAAAACAGTATAATTCTACAGAGAAGAAAAATTGACTTTTGATAGAATAAACGATTTTAAAATATTCTTGATGGAAAGAACAATGCTAAGTAGAAACTTTGAAGTATTAAAATGGGGGTGAAGAGGAACCTAAAAAGTTAACTACATTTCACCACATAGAAGGATTAATGATGAAGTGCTTATGTTATAACATAGAGAGAAGATACATGTGTTCCTTCAGAATCCTAATGCCTTTTAGAGTCACAGAGGGTATTAAATAAGATAAACTTGGAAAAAAAAGAGTAAGCCAGCAAAAACAATGAATACATTTGTAAAAGAAAAAAGAGTTGGCCGTGTCAGGAATAGGACATTTGACCTTTTTAAAGGATCACTGGTCCACAAAGAAGTGCACGTCACCTTGATGAGGCTGACCACACGGCGCCCTTTCATTACGAACTAAGCTATTCCTGGGTCCCGGTGCGGAACTTTTCTACTCTCACCGAACTGTCAATCATTTGTGAGCCGGGCCTGCCCAGCTCTCCGGCAAAACTTCTGCAGGAATTTAGCAGCCCTTTTAAATCCTTAGAGGTATATCGTAAAAACCTGCTTTTCCAAATGGCATACAAATAAGTGTCCGACCCTGAATGTCCACACCGCGCAGCACGCCGCCTACTCCTTCCTAACAGAAAAGGGTCAGAATGGTTGGTTCAGTTTCACATTTTCCGTTTAGCATTTAACACCAAAGATCCGAACACCGGGCAGCTGTGCCGTTTGGGAAGGAGCACCCTCGGCAGAGAAGCTGTGTTTAAGATGAAGTGTGTAGGATTATGCTTGGTGTGGAAACTTGCCAGAAAAGAGAGAATTACTGGAGAAACTGGGAAGAAGTAAGCTGCTCTCCATAGTCAGGTCGTCCGCAGGGAGTCAGCGGCCGGGCTTGACCCTGGTCAGGGCTTTCCAAAGGCGTTCCTCTAACCACAGGTGAAAACACTCCCGTTCCCCGATCCGTTCTGATATTTGTCTGAACGATACGACACCGCGGGTATGCTGGGCAAGACCAACTCCCAGTGCGCATGTCAGCCGCACGCCGCGGCCTCATTACGCGGGTATTTGGATTTACCTCGCGGGGAGCCACTCCAACACGTCACGCCGACCCCGCCAGACGCCCGCGGGGGCTCCGGAGCCAGAGCTCTGCCCTCGTGAGAGGGCGTTGCCAGCGGAAGCCTTAGGAGCCGAACGCCCCGGCGGTCGGACTGACAGGCAGACCCGCCAATCAGATGCTCGGGAGGCGGGGCTAGCTCCCCTCAGATTGACATCCGCCTCCGGGCTGCCGTGCTTCCGGGGAGGCCAGCCCCGCCCCTCGAGGCTGAGGGAGGGGCCTGCGGTCTGGGGCCGGGTCTGGGCGGTCTGAGGGGAGGTGAGATGGTTGCTTTAAAAAAAACGTGGAAAGACTTGGAACAATCCACCTCCGGAGAAAGAACTCTTCAATAGAAGTATGTATAGTATGGTTTTACATATGTGTATATATGTGTGTGTGCGTGCGTATGTATGTAAGTATATGTACGTGTGTTTGATACATACATAATAAATGTGTATATATGTGTATGTGAGGCAAAGAATAGCCTCTTTAAAAAATAGGTCTGAGAGGGGGAAGACCCTCAGGGTTACTTAATCACCGAATGGGCCCTGCCTCAATCAGACTGAGGCCTGTTAAAGACCTTAGCTTAAAAAGGCCGAGGTCCCCCACTGCCCCCTGGGCCGTCGCCAGTCGTCCTGATCTGTTATCTCGCCGCTGGACCCAGATGGCTCTGGAGGAGAAAGTGAGGCCGGTGACTTTGCACAGCCCTCCCTCCCTTCAATCCAGTTCACTTGCATGTCATCGCATCACCTCCCCGATGTCCTGAATTCAGAAGAAAGCACAGAAAAGCTGGGTAGCTTTGAAAACAGTATGTGGTATTTATTACATAGGTTTTTTTTTTAAAGTAAACAACCTGAAAAATAAATAAATAAATAATAAGGGGCAGCTAGGTGGCAGTGGATAGAGCACCTGCCCTGGCATCAGGAGGACCAAATCCCGCCTCAGACACATAATACTTAGGTGTGTGACCCTAGGTGAGTCACTTAACCCCATAGCCAAAAATAAATAAATAAATAAACAATCTGAAATGGAAATTCATGGTTTTATATATTGAATTCTCTCTATGCTCTGCTGTGTACAGGGAAAATTTCCCCCCTCGTTTTGTATTTAAGTTTAAAATAAATTTAAAAATTTAAACTTTTTAATTACAGAGACAGCTAAAAATGTGCTAACATTTGAATTTTTTTTTTTTGGCTAGGCAGTGAGGTTAAGTGACTTGCCCAGGGTCACACAGCTAGTAAGTGTTATGTGTCTGAGGTCGGATTTGAACTGAGGTCCTCCTGAATCCAGGGCCGGTGCTCTATCCACTGAACCACCTAGCTGCCCTTAACATTTGAATTCTACTATATTTGTAAACCTCTACAGCAATTTATAAAATTACTACATTTGATTTAATTCTTGTTTACATTGTCAGCCTTTCACGGAGTTTGTTCTAAGAAAGAGACAAATGAATTAGGTTGTGTGTCCACGTTTTAATTTCTCTCAAGCTGGCGACATGCATTGCATGGGAGTTACAGTCCATAACTGGGCCCCCCCCAAGCCAGTACAGAACTGGCTCGATTTGGGAGTTGGGGTACCCAGTTTATATACCTTTTCAACAGGGGCTGATATCACCTCCACCTGCCAACTACAGAGAAAATACCTCTTCTACCAGATCAGCCCCCAACCATACCAGACCACTCTCATCCTTGAGCTATCTAAGCTGAAGAATCTTGTCTCCACCCAAGCCTGACTAGACCTTTGATTAAATCAATTTAGGCTTGGGTTGGGGTTTGACTAGGGTAAGGAGATGCAATGCAATCTCATTATCAGTAATTCCTTCTAAAGGACTTTAGAGAAGGGAGCTGGGGGTGGGAGCTCTGAGTCTCCAAGATATTGATTACTTAGAAAAGTCATTTTTCAGAACATTAAGTCTTTCACTAAATTAAAATTTTAAAAATATAGTCATTTCAGGGGTGGTTTCAGGACATTTTTTAAAACTGAAATTTGTCAGGGCAACAAGATTCACTGGAGATTTAATTTTATTTCCATAATTTTATTAAATAATGTGTTGGAAGGAGACTTTTTAAGGTGACCTGTTCCAGCACCACAGTCTCCCATCTAAATTGCGCATATCATCCTAGCCTAACCCAATGAATTAATGTGTGTTGTATGTGCAGGGCTTTTTTTTTTAATTATACCTTACTTGTTAAGTTTCAGATGTGGCAAAGGACTCTGAAAACTCAGGAAGGAAAAGAACATGTTTACCAGATATTATCAGTTAAAACTACAGTTGATTTTTTTTAGTCAAAGGAACTGTATATACCCAGAAGTAATTACTTTTAACTTTCTCAGTGGGTTACTCCTAGAATTCTCTTTCCAAATTTTATTAAGATTCCTTAATTCATTATGTTGCTGTGAAATGTGAACTTGTTTTTTTCCCCCCAAACATGGAAAGGAATTTTAAAATACCTGCATGTAACTAGAAACCATTAATGCCTTGCTAGTGTGTGTGTACCCATATACACTCTAATAAAGCAGGTAAAGAATAATATTTTTATAAATAATACTTTTTTCTAATGAGTTGAATCAGGGAATTTATCCTGCTGCAATATTCTTAATCTTAAGAAACTCTTATTTTAGTTATTGATTAACATGTCAGTTTGCAACTGGAACAGATTAAGGTTTATCCTAAATTGGTTTCTCTGCAGACATATCATCCCTGTGACCTATGGCAGGTTTCAGACATACTTATGGCAGCAGCTGTTAAGAACCTTCAGTTTCATCTTTAGGGAACTTTAGAATGCCTTGACACTAGGGAGTGCTCAATATTTTCTACATGGGTCAACTAATGCCCTAAATTTGCTAACTGTGTCAATTAAAGTATGTTCTGTAGGAAAGAACTGTTTGGATAAAATATGCTGCTGCTTGTAATTTGTAGCTGTTCCCTCAATATTTTTTACTACTCTGAAAATACCCTTGCTTCAAGACAGCAAAACAAATTGTTGGGTTGTTTGTTTTTTTTTAATAGTTCCTCAAAGTCAAAATTTTTACCAGTAAAATGTCAATTCACAATTGCTTCTACTCTATTTAAAGGGAAAAAAATTTGAATTGTATAGCTAACATTGAATCCCTTCATCAAGGAAACTAGCTTAACTCAAATTAAAAGTCAGTTGTTTTTCTCTCTGTTCACATCAGGATCAAAAAGTAGTTTTTTAGTAAGGTCCTAATGACTTCAGGAAACATTCCAATGGAAAACCTGAACTGCCCAGCAATGGATAATGGTGGGTATATCTAAACAAATCTAACTGGGAAAAAAAAAAACACCTGGATTCCTAAAAAGTGACACTTTGCCCACCAAATTCACATGATATACAATAGGGATGTTATACTCTTGCCCTTCATAAAGATCCTAAGAATTAACTGTTTGACAGGCTTTAGAAATTACAAGTACTATATAAAGATTGTTACTAGTGATAATTTGTCAAAAGGAATAAAAGATCATTTAAAATCACTTTATTAAGAAATAGTAAATCTTAGATACTGTGAAGGAAAGGAAAAAAATTTGCTCAAAGATTTCCTAAAAGACAAAACATGACACTAGAGCAACAGGAAATAGCTTGTTCTTGAGCACATTTTAGAAATGATATTCCAAGTGAATGGCAGCTAGCGTTATAAAGGACTTTGGAGTCATATTATATGAGGATCACTTCAAGGATCTGGGCAGCTGGGTATATCTTAAGAGAACAGGAAACTCAGGGGAGTAGTTTTCTCTTTTTGAAGTGTTATCCAATAAAAGAGTTCTGCTTGGTGCCAAAGGACAACTAAAAGCAGTGATTGGAAGCTACAGAAAGACTAAGTTAGGTTTGCTCCAAGGAAAAACTTACTAATTAGAAGTTAAAAAATGAATGGGACTCATCAGTCGAGGAATGACTGAACAAGTTATGGTATGCGATTGTGATGGAATACTGTTGTGCTATGAGTAATGACAAGCATAAAGTTAAAAAGCTTTTTGAAAAGCAAATTAATGCACTTTGAATTAGAGGAGAATGTTACCTGAGGAACATCTTTGCAACAAATTTGTCTGATGAAAGTCTGGTATTTAAGATATTATGGTGAATTGAGACAACTATATAAGAACAAGGGCCATGCTCCAGTAGAGAAATGATCAAAGGATATGAAGGGGTATTTCCCAAAGAAGAAATGCAAGCTATCCAAAAGCACCTGAAAAAAAAAACACACCTCCAGATCACAAACAAAAAAAAAATGCAATTTAAAATAATGTAGAATGTGGTAAGGGGAAATAAGAAATCTGAAGTGCTACAAAAAAAAACAACTAAGGAAAGAAAGATCACTTTTAGCTGAGGAGGGATTCTCAGCATCAATACTCATTCATTCTTCCACCTTCCTTTTCTGTTTTGGAGTTCTCAGGTATCCTTTCTCCACACTTGTTTTATCTTGAGGTCCTGACTCCATTTTACTACCTCTTCCAGGACCTTACTGCAGACACCCAGATACCTTATCCCTATCTACATTCATTCACTCACCTTAGCCTAAAAACATATTCAGTATTCTTCAGTCCTAAAAAGCTTGCTTTTGATGCTTCTTTATTCCATATAGTTAGTTATATTTCTCTACTCCATTTCACAATCAAACTTCTTGAAAAAATAGTCCTATACCCATTATCTCCAGTCCCTTATAATTTGGCTTTCAAATCTAATCCACAAAGTTACCAATGGCTTCCTAATTACCAAACTCAAAACCAAGCTTTTTTCAGTCTTCATTTTCTTTGGCCTCTCTATAGCAGGCTGTATATCTATAGCATGATACTATTAACCAACCTCTAAGTTTTGACAAGAAAGGATATTTAGATTAACGAACTGAATGTTTAGAACCTGTACTCTTTCTACACTCAAGATGGGCAGCATATATAAGAAATGATGAGCAGAATGATTTAAGAAAAACCTGGAAAGACTTATGTGAACTGATGCAAAGGGAAGTGAGCGAAAGAACATTCTATACAGTAACAGCAAATTGTAGTGCTGATCAACAGCAAATGACTTAGCTATTCTGATCAATACAATGATCCAAGACAATGCTGAAGGGCTTATGATAAAAAATGCTGTCCACCTCCAGAGTGAGAAAACTGATGGAGTCTGAATGCGTATTGAAACATGTTTTTAACTTTATTTTTCTTGCCTTTTTTTTTTGCAATATGGCTAACATGAAATATGTTTTGCATGATTTCACATGCATAATTGATATCACATTTCTTGCTTTCTCAATGGGTGGGAGAGGGGCAGGAGGAAGGGATTGAATTCAGAACTCAAAATTTAAAAAAAATTTAACACAATAAATGAATAAATAATGATGTGG